TAGCAAACGTAGTACATAGGGCGACATCTAGATGTCATCTACCTCGCTCTATTCACTATGCTTTTTTATAGGAGCTTTTCAAAGCTTTGCTTTATGGTGTCGGACACACAACATTGAAAGCTTCTGGAACACAACATTGAAAGTTTCTGGAACACAACATTGCAAGTTGATAAAAGCGTTGTAAAATAGCCAAAACCGGTCAAAATATCCCTTACCTTAATCGGCTGACTACAAGGGTATACTTTTTTAAGTTTTGAGGAAAAAAATAACTATGCTTTCTTATATGACATCGCCTGAAATAAAAAAGGTACAAATAAGACGATGCTTAATCTTTCTTACCAACTGTGGTCATAAGTAATAACCGCCTAGGTTAGGTTAGGTTAGGTTATCCTGGCTGCCCTCACCCGTGCAGGAAAGGGCACACTTAGGCCTCCATGGGCCCATTGTGATACCATATTAATAACCGCCTAAGTCGAAAACCCTGAATTCGATAAAAACGTTTTAAACATTTGGATTGTAACGTTCCTTATGGGGAAACCAAATATGTTCGTCTATAACTTTTTAAATAGCCCAGCTGGCGAGATGGGGATTTCACATACACATGGAATAGTAGTTGCAGAATACGATAGCATATATAACTCAATTCCTTCCTAAGTCGACTTAGGCGGTTATTATTTATGACCAGAGATATTATTACGATTTGCATTGTGGTTGCCGCAGTGGCAGATATTAACCCAGCAACGAGAATGTTCAGATCCTAATAATGTGGAGAAAAAGACTTTTTTGACCATACATTAATGACTTCAACGATCACTAAACAGCTTTTATTCCATATTTGTGGGTATTGCGGACTCTTATTCGAAATTCCAATATTTCAGTACCGAGTATCGTAAGTATGGGATACTTTTTAAGTCGGTATCGAGTATCCATCAATACTTAAAAGTACCGACTCAGCACATCACTAGTCGGTTGGGGGGAAAAGAAGGGCAAACCGTTGGGATTAATTAATAAAATTGCTTATTTTAATGTACTTGAAAAAATACACTTACTATTTTTAGATACGATTTTATATTTTATGCAGACGAGTAGTCATGTATAAATTTCTATATGTATTATCATTTTGTAAATACAATAAAATACAAGCTATTATTATTTTAGTGCATGGATATGTATGTATCTAAATAAATGCATATTAGTATCTAGTCATTTATAGTCCTCGGAATATGAATGCTTTAAATTTAACCGATTATCTTTCAAAAGGGAACTTTTGACAATTTCATACTTTCTTTGTGATTCCTCGTGTGTCAAGGTTAGGCGCTGCTGTACCATTCGCTTATGTAAAGCGATGGTATTGACTTGGTGTACAAGTTTCTCATACGTATAGTTATCAAACTGGCCCTCAAATTTATTTAGAAATCGATTTAACGATTTGTCTTCCACAGTAAGCTGTAAAAAAGATAGTACAATTCAAATTACAATAATATTTGAAAATTACGCTTACATCTTCGTACTGACGTTGAAGATTATTTAACAATCCTACAAAACGAGTTTTAAGGTCGTATAAGCATGCATTATAAGCTGCCCATGATTCTTGATACGATAATGCCCGATTCTCATAAGGTACTAAATAGGGCGCTAGGAAATCTGCTGGTTTTGTTAACATGTCCAATTTAAAATTCTCCTCTTCAGTTGCCTGAAATAATAGAAAAGTTTTCTCTTTGAAAATAAGGAAAAATTGTTTAAAAATGTTAAAATTTTATGAAAGGGGTTTACTTTTCTTTTTTTTTTGTAACCTAAAGTAGTACAATCAATCTGGCTCTACATGTAGGTGTACCTGGAAAAAATTCAACACAGGATTAAAATTGTAACATGTTCTTCAGAAAAAAACTTTTATCCAAATAAGAAAATGTTGTATCTCTAAATTTGACAGGAAATATTTTTAGTGAATTAAAAACTATTGGGAATTACCACATCGCTGCTATTAGCACTGATTTGGTAATCCAAAGTACTACCACTTCTTGCATTTTACATTTGTCTACATATTTGCGTGTCAGTGCTTATAGCAGCGAAGCGCTGTTTCCCAATAGTTTTTAGTTAATTAAAAATATTCCCTGTCAAATCTAGAGATACAACATTTTCTTATTTTGATTAAAATTGTTTTCTGAACAGCATTGTACCATTTTTATCCTGAATGGATTTTTTCCACCTTAAGCGCCCTTTTCTCATGTAGCCTTTAATTTAAAGCTCACTTTATATGTAAAGGTTACTTTAAAATATATGAGACATTAGCGGTACTCACTTTCCGTAGCATTTTAGGTGTAAAGTTGCTACGTAGCAATCTAGCACGCATTTTGTTGTTGGAAGAGCAACAAAACATGTGGTAGATTGCTACGTAGCAATTTTACACCTAAAATGCTACTCAACGTGAGCTCCCCTATTATTTTGCATATGGGACACCGCACCACCACACTTTCGATTGGCTTAAAATTTTTTTAATGGGTTCTATACATGAAATAAGCCAACACGTATTCGAGGAAATTTTTTTGAATTTTTTTTTTCATCGGAGATATCATCTGTCAAAGTTTGCATTTTTCGTGATTCTGAATAATCATGTACTTCTCCAAATCGTTATAACTCGGGTTCTGCTCATCGCACAGACTTCATCCTAACGTCGTTTTAAAGCTAAAGTAACGTGCTTAACACCTCTATATATATGATGGTGAAGATTGTCCTAAAGCTAACTTATCTATTAACTGCTGAACTATTTGAAGTTCATTTGCATAGTGAACACCAGTAAATTAGGGATCTAAAATTCTACCATCGTAATCCTTGTTTAATTTTCTATAAAAAAAACGTGGTTCAAAAAAATGGGGCTTTGTCAAGAACTATTTCTAAAATATTTTTCTTTATGACGAGATGGTTTATTTTGTGGGAATCAACAATTCTTTGTAGTTTATTTTCGAAAACTTATGATGAGATATATTTAGTAAGGTGTTAAACATCGGGTTTTTGCAAAAAGTAAAATTGTATTGCAGATTTCGATAGATTACCTATCCGGAAATAATATTTGTACGGCAAGATTTTTCTGTAAGGTGACATACTCCTAGAAATGGGCGTGGCAATTGCAGACCAAAAGTTTGCAAGACGCAAATTTTATTGCGGATTTCGGCAGAATATCGCTTCGTTAAAAACATTTGTTCCACAACTTTTTGAATCCATATAGATATTCTGGTGGAATCCACAATAAAGTCTAAATTTATGACCTTTGGTTTTACTTGATTTCGGTTTATAGAATACTAGCTTATACCAGCGGGTTTCAACCAGCGCTTTTATACAAATAGGAAAAATAATTTAATGATGTTAGATTTTATTTCTGTGCCCATTTCGTTATAGCTCGTTATTTTTTAAAACGAGTTAAGGTATTTAGGCCGTTTAAAACTATGAAATTATAAAATTTCGTCTGCGCGCTAGGCATACGAAATATATCAACCCCTGTAAGTTTACCTTAAAATGTTTCCAGGTATACGACGCGTGAACGTGTAACCTTCTTGGAGGTGCCACGGCGAGTCCTAATATTTCCAATTCAAATTTAGTAACCTGGCCTTGAAAAAATAACACTTCTCATAACTGTAGCAAATGCCTCAAGAGAGCTTTAGATTATAAGGCCGAACCCGGCTCTCCCTTTTCTATTTAATGAAATTTATTCTGTCTTCCACAAACACTTCCAGGGATATGTGGCAAGAAAAAGTAAATTTGTACTGGAAGTGCCACGCCCCTTTTTCTTATAACCCTAATCTTCTTCCATGAATTTAGAATTGATTTTACATACCCCAGTACCAAGTCACAGTACTCTACCATGAACACCTCTAGAGATAAGCAGTATAAAACAGTAAATTTGTACGGCAGGAACCATGTCCCCTTTTCGAATAACGCAAATTCTTCTCTATGGGTATGGAATTAATTTTGTATACACATCTCGGTGCCAAGTTCCTGCAATAGACAGCTCCAGAGATATGCAGCATAGAAAAATCAATTTGCATGGGAGTTGCCACACCACCTTTTCCAATAACTCTCATTTTTCTCCATGAGTATGGTATTAGTTTCACATACATACATGCATACATATGTATTTCCATACCAAGCTTGAGTGCTTTACCCCAAACATTTGAAGAGATATGCAATATGAAACTTTCAGTCAGTATGGGAGGTGCTACGCCTCTTTTCCAAAAACGTACATTTTTCTCCGTGAACATGAACATGATTTCACACAGTGTTGGCAAACTGTTAATCTGATTAACGATTAAAAATTAACGATTAAAATGTTAATCGCGTTTGACGATTAAAATTGATTAGTCGTAATCAACTGTATGATTAATGATAACATTTTTTTAATCGTTAACCGCTGGCTGCGATTACGTTTAATTAATTTAAAACATTAATCGTTAATCCAATTAAAAATAAAATCTGATTAATCTAGATTGTCCGAGTTTGAAACCAAACACCAGTTATAGTAATTATTTTGTGTTTTACGCTTATAAAAACACGTAATATAAAAATATAATAATTATTGTTATTAGTAATACATAAACTGGGAACTTTTACAAACCTAGTTTGTATAACGTTTGTTGGTATATATCTTAATGAAAATGCACACCAAATTGCTTAGATTGATGAGGAAACCCGACTTAGCCATACCGGATTAACTTGCTTTGTGTGCACAGGGCAATTCCAGCATAACTTAATTAATCACCAAACCTACTTGATCAAATTAAGAGTTAATGATTAAAAATTAATTTTTTAATCGCGGTTACGATTAACTGTTTAGTCGGATTAAAATTAATCATGATTAACTGTAATCAGATTGAATTTAATCGAATTAACTAACTAACTAAAACATCAATCGATTAATGCCAACATTGATTTCACATGCATATCACTATACCAAGTTTCAGTTCTCTCCCACAAATACTTCCAGAGATATGTATGTAATTTGAAAATTCCAATTGGTATGGGAGGGGCCTTGAGTTATCGGACTTACTTTCAGTCTAAGACCATCCTTCCGAAATCCGTAGTAAGTGTACTAAATTTCATTCTGATCGGAAAACCGGTTAAGGAAGTAGCCTATTTTTCAATCGAGGTCATAAAGCATCTTTGAGCAAAATTTCATTTTCAAACAGGTGGCAATTCTTAAAAAAGTAGCCTATTTTCCAGTCTAGGTCATAAGCTATCTGTGAGCAAACTTTCACGCAAATCAGTTCAGCCATTTCTACGTATTAATTTAATTAAACTTTCCTAATACGTGATAACTCTTAAAATAGTAGCCTATTTTCCAACCTAGGTTATAAGCTATCTGTGTGTAAAATTTCATGCAAATCCGTTTAGTCGTTTCCGCGTATTAATTTAATTAACCTTTTTTAACAGGTGGCAACTCTTCCAAAAAATTTGCCTATTTTCCACTGTAGGTCATAAGCTATGTGCTTGCGAAATTTCATGCAAATCCATGCAGTCGTTTCCGCGTATTAATTTAATGAAACTTTTTTAACAGACGGCAACTCTTAAGAAAAGTAGCCTATTTTACAACGCTTTTATCAACTTGCAATGTTGTGTTCCAGAAACTTTCAATGTTGTGTTCCAGAAACGTTCAATGTTGTGTGTCCGACACCATAAAGCAAAGCTTTGGAAAGCACCTATAAAAAAGCATAGTGAATAGGGCGAGGTAGATGACATCTAGATGTCGCCCTATGTACTACGTTTGCTA